AACCATGATCCTATCTTTGGGGATAATAAACTGATTCAACAGTGCATTTCATTTGCAGATATTGTCATGTATGAGGYGCTTCCAGCTATGCAAATTTCCCAGGCAAATATTGAGCTATGGCTCTGAATGAAACTTGCAAAGATAAATCTTTTATTTTGTATTTTAAAGGGCCTTTTTGTTGTTGTTCTAATATGAAAGACCAYGCAATGGTCATGGGTAGAATGGCAGAATTTAGGCACAATATAAATAAATTCTACCTTAYTCAGGAGGCCAGCACAAACTGACTCAATTAAATTCCTATAGAAGTTAATATTCAGAGCCATGGTCAGGAATATAAAGTTTCTCTTCAAAGTTTCATAGTTTTGTGGTGTCCCTCACYGTCAGTATTGGCTCACTAGCAAAGCTGCTTTGCTTTTCTTGTTTGGTAGGCATCCTGCCTGGAAAAGRGACCTCCATATCAGCAAGGCACTTTAAGTACATATTTATTTCATATCCAAACCTTTCAGTGACTTCATGAATGGCAGGGAATTAGATGTGCTCTAGGAGCACTGTCAGATCAGGATTTCAATGCAATCTTCAAACACGGATGCACGAATGGTTCATCCATCCGCCTCTACATAGCTCTCTGAGTGTAAAGATCTGGAAAACCTATTAATGCAACTTATGGCATGTCAGGCATTATTTCAAAATCTCAGCAATCCTGCCTGAGGAATTCATCTCCCCCACTTTTGTCTTCCTGAAAGTAAAGCCCCTAAGCCAATGTTTAGCTTTGCATCTCCTGGTGTTGCTACCCTCTCCTTCCCTTCTAAAACAACAAACGCAAATTCACTTCATTTTCCGGCTGCTCCTGGCCTGGTTTTATCCTACCCATTATCTTGTACGTAGCACTGGGATCGCTGCTTGCACTCTGCCAGCAAGGCTGGCTCCTATCACCTATTTTCCCCCATATTCTTCACCATCTGTCTCTAAAGCAAAAGGAAACTATGTCCCAGGGCACAGACTTTTAGATAAAGCTGCCTGTTGATATATTTTCACTGTTAAGAAGTGAATCCCCCAAAGAACTTTCAGTAACATACTACCAAAACTTAATGACAGGTCTCCCACACTTAAGAAGACTGTATAAATGGCCCCAGGAGCCACAACCCCTTCCTACCATGTCCATGAATTCAGGAGAGAATATGGAAACGGCTGTGACTGTGAGCAAGTTTTTTTTTAAGAGATAGGTAGATTACTTGTTGTTACATTAGAAGCATAAACATCACCAAGTTGAGAAGGTGGTAATGATTCTTACACTGAACCGTCTTACCAAAAGATTTATTTCAGATCACTGACTGTTTGGATTCAAACTGTTTCAATGTCAGCTGCTTTATTTGTTCTTTTCACAGATTCTGTTCTTCTTTGGAAAWGTTATTGAGGAAAATTTGTCATCTCTTATTAGCTTTGAATGTGATGCCAAGGCGATCCCAACCTGGGCACTCATCACTTACACAGCAAACATCGCTGCAGCCAACAGCACCTTCCCTTTGGCTCCATGCGGCAGGACCGTCCGGCTCTGCTGCGTTCGCAGGTGCCCAAGGCCAAGCACTATCAGTCTCACTTTGAGTTACTGGCCAAATCTTAATGGAGAAACAGCGTTATTAGGAGCTYTCCTCCTCGGGTTGATCTCTTGCCTAATCCCTTGTGATTGTGCAACAAACCTGCATGACGCAGCCACATGAAAAAACGAAGGCTAGAGGAGTGCCTGGGAGCTTGTTAGGCACATTTATCCTGAACTCTGACTTAACAGCTATTGGCTTAGGTCCTTCTCCAAAGACTTCCAACCTTTTCTGTCTTCTGTAGAGTTCCCACCTCTTTCTGACTACGACTCTTCCCTAAAATGYCCATAACTCCATGGCACATCCCACTGCAATGGTCCTTCAAAGCCCTGCATTTATATGAAGTTGTGCTGTCCTGGCWGCCAGAGACCTTGAGCTGGGAGCAGAATTCAAATCCAGGCGGTTATTGGTTAAATAATTGCCACCTTAAGAGAGCCCTGGGGCAAGACTTTCAGATTTGGTGGACATTTGGGTTCTAGTTTGGGCTTTTATGTGGTTAATGGGATCACACATGCTACATTCAAGGGGCCTCCCTAGGTCTTCTAGGTTACCACACTTTTTTTTTTTTTTTTAAGGCCTTTAGTGAAGTTTGGCCCTTTTTGCTCCAGCCCTTTTAACTCCGCTTCAGCCTGGTCCCTGGGGGCCTGGGCTTGGGAAGTTTCGCTTGGGGTCTGTTGCAAAACTGGGGGCTTGGTGGTGATTCCTGCCTGACAGTCTGACCCCATGCCTGCAGCTTTGTCAYGTCGCCTGTCCTTACTCATATTTCCCATTGCATCATCCCCTTGGGTAAAGAGCACCTTGTTTCAGTTTTGTGCCGGGCCTCCCAATCGCCTCCACCCCTATGAAAACAGGGTGTCTACAGRAGCAGGTGTGGGAACCCTTGCTTGTGGCAATGAAGCACAGCTGCTTTCCRTGGGACCGAGTGTGGGAAGGCTCCTGGTGCAGCACGGTGCCCCTGGCTCGAGGACAGAGGGATCCTGGTACCAGGCTCTGTTATTTCTGTGACTTAGGAGGCCAATTTCTTTTCTCATCTTCACCCCTTGTACTCATTTTTACTTTTCCATATCATATATCTAGCTTCTAGAATCCAGGTCTTCAGTCCTGATTCTTCTCATGTTAGTGTGTGCAGAGATTCATGCCTGGCGTAGGACAGATTGCACCTAAGCAGATGTAAGGATGCACGTGGGTGTCTGCAGCTTAACCCTGAGTCCTTAATGTCCCCTGCTTGTATGAGCACCAGGAGCCTGTGGGAAGTCCATTAGCAGAGATCGTCTTTACCTGAGGGACACCCTGCCTTAGCTGGTGGCAGTTCTGCTCTGTAACAGATTCCCCTGAGCGCACAAATCCCTGATAAGCATGGATTTTAACCAGAATGAAGAAGTGAGCTTTGCTTATTTATTTAAGGCACGTGTCTGCAAGGTGTGAGCGCTAAAAAAAAATCCCTCTGTAGTAAATCACCTACCCCATGGTCTTTGACAGCAGTCAGGATACTTCTAGTACTCAGACCTCTCTCCATTTGCTCTTCTCTATTATTTGTTTCTGACGCTGCATTCCGTTTTCTTGCTATTAAGGATCCTGCCAGCATAGTCAATGTTATTTCTGGTTTCTGCTTTGACTTTGGGCAAGTTGCAGCACTCTAACTAACACCCCTAACTCTGCAAATGCCTCTAAGACTTCATGCCAATGAGATGTCCATGCATATGTCCCAAGCAGAAGTTTCCTCTCTTTACTTCATTGCATTTTACACATCCATCTGCAAACAGTGCTGAAATTATTGCTCAGTCAGACTGGAGTCCAGCCATCTGCCAAATTAGAAGATATGCAAARTTGGGTACAAGTGTGGGCTAAACTCCTAAAGTATTTTAAGGGGAATAAATATATCAAACAGTCCATTTCTGGGCAGAACTATTTGATCATCATATAACACTGACGAAGAGCAGATCAACAAAAAAACAGGTAGGATTCAATAGGAAACACAGCCTAAAAATCGTTGGCAAGGCCTGCCTGGAAGGTGGATATGGGAAAGGCAACTGCTGACAAGCTGCAGCATCAGGTTGCACACAGCGGGAATGCTCCAGTCTCCATCACCATTACCAGGGTAAGGGACCCTGCCATGTCCCAGCACAGAGCAGTGCCAGGGCTCTGCAGGGATCTCCAGGGATGCCCATTGGCTGGGATGGACTGGGAAGGCAGTGGCGGGGTGAGGGATTGCATGTGCCAAATTGATGTTTTTAATTATTATTATTTTTGTACAAGCATACCTTTTTTGATAAGGAGGCAACTCGAGTGAGAAGGTGGATGAGATCCCAAGATTGTCCGCAGAGTGAAGCACTCTACAAACTAGGGCAAGCTGGGCTAGGGACGTTCAAACATCTGCAGGGGGAATCTCCTCGGGCTTCCCCGGAGAGGGAGGAGAAGGATGACAGCAGAGAGACTGATGGGTTGTTAAAGCAGGAGGCTGTTACGGTCACTGGGACCATTTGACTCAGGCTACAAAATGCAGCCCGCAGCTTTGTGAATTAAACGRCAAGTGGTAATTTGTCAGTGCGACTTAAACGCTTTGCTTTCCCGGTTATTGCCCTTTCATGTGTCCAAGGACTGATGTAATAAATGGACACATTGAGTGGTGGAAACGTGCCGGCACAGCCCAGTGCATCAGCTTGAGTGAGGCTCCTGAGGGCTGCAATTCCACCATTTTCCCCAGTTGAGAAATACCACGGACTAGTCATAGCAAGACTTCTTGTTTTGGCTTCAGCAGTGCACATTCCTGGTGCTGCAAATCTTTGCAACACTTATCGTGAAGCCTTAGCTGCTGGATTCACATGACAAGGACCAAATCTCTGCTCTCCTTTGCTCACACCTCCTCCTCTCCAAAACTTCCTATTCCTCACGGTGACGGAGAAAAGTCCGAAAAACTGAACTGCGAGGAGAAAAAGCCAGTGGAGGATCCCAAATTGCTTCGTCTCGTTTCTAGCCTCCCCCCTCCTGTTTTCCCAACACCCGATACCGCCTTCCCGGCTAACTCGGCAGAGTGGGAAGGAGCACAGAGGCGAAATCCGGCCGCGGAGCGGTAGAAAACGCAGATCTCGCTCGGAGCGAGGGCGACTTTCCAGGCGGCCGCTCGCTCGGGCGGCGCTGCTCATGTTTTCCACCGGGGGGGATTAGCCAGGGCAGCCCGGGGCGGGCAGAGCAGGAGCAGGAGGAGGAGGAGGAAGGGGGGGAAAGTTGCTTGAATTTGCGAGGGGAGCGAGCGCGCCGCCTCCTTCCACTGGCTGGGGCAGCTGCCAATCTGTGTTGTAATCCTGCAGGAATCTCCGCCGGCTTTAACTGCGAGCCGCACTCGGCGCGCGCGGACGGCGGCGCCGGCACCGCGCAGCAGCCGCAGCGGGAGCGGGAGCCTCGGCCGGCGGCGCCAGCAGCGGAGCGGGGACAGCGGCAAGGACAAGGAGCCGGAGCGGGCGCCCACCTGGGCGCTGCCGAGCGCCGCTCTCGCCTTTGTGCTCGGCCGCCCCCGCGGAAGGATGCGGGGCGTGTGGCTGGCGCTCACCTTCAGCGTCGTGGCCTGCGCCGCCGCGCAGCCGGTGAGTGCGCGCGGGGGCAGCTGTTGCGCGCGGCGGCGCGGAGCCCTCAGAAGCCCCGCGGAGCCGCCGCCGCGCTCCCTCCCCGGGCGCTGCGCGGGGCTCTGCGGCGCCGCGATCCCCCCGCCTGCCGCGCAGTCTCCTCGCAGAATAACCGCGCTCTGTCCGTGCGGGGGCGGCCGGGCTCGGCTCGGCCCCGCGAGCCGCGCAGCCCTGCGCGCAACCCGCGCAGCAAGGGCCGCCGTGTGCGCGGCCCCTGCGCGCCCCACGCGGGGCGGCGAGTTGACCCTCGCGGAGCGCGGCCACCCCCGCGTGGGGAGCGCGGAGCCCCGGGCGCTCCGTGGCGACTCGGCGCGGCCGCGGGCGGCACCGACGCCGTGTTTCGGCAGCTATCAAAAAACAATAAATCGAGGCTTCCACGAGACCTTTAAAACACTGTGGCAGTTTAATCCAATTAAAATGAGCTGCTCCACTGAACTAAATAATGTCGCTGGCTTYGGTTAAGTTTTGAAGTTGTCTAGTTGTTGTATAAATTAGCCCTGTCGCGGGATTCATGAAGTCTGGCTTGTTGCTAATGGCTTCTGAGGATACAATTGCAAAATACTTTCCTTAAGGACTAATGGAAATGAGTTGTATAAAACACTAACTCTAGGTTCGGATGTGGCTACGTTGCACAAGTGGCTGTTTACTAGAGGTACAATGTATTTTGATGGAAATGCTGTTACTCTGAAATTCGCTGGTGCGGTAACTGTTAAACTGCCACGGTAATTAGTCGAGGGTCAGGTTTTATGTGCTTTTGCCTTAGGACGGGCTCTCGGGTGCCCTGGTGCTGTGCGGTTCGTGGGGCACGGGGAGCAGCCAAGGGGCTGGCCCTGGCACCCGTCCGCGAGAAAGTTGTGGAAAGACTGGAAAAGTAGAAGGCAGTCGGTGGTGGGGGTGTTTTTCCCCCCTCTGCTTTTCTTTTGCTGGGCCTGGCTGTAGTTGCGCGGTCTCTCGAGGTGGGATTTATAGAGCTTGCTTTAGGAGGAGATATATGCCCAGTGTGTAGCCTCTGCCGAATGTTGTCCTACAGCAAGAGGAATTTTATGTAGATACTTAAAAAAAAATGCTGTTATTCCCCCAGAGCTCTGTCAAGTGTTTTCAGCTCAAAGTTCTCCCCTTGTTTGGTTCTGCTGTTTATTATTATTTTTATTTAGGCAAGACGAAAATCTCTGTGGAAAAAGTAGGGGTCCAGGAGGCTGTTTCGGAGGGAGGACAGAGAATAAGGAGACTGTTTCCTAGGGCAGCGAGTTCGCTGTGTTTGCTTCAGTTTTGTACAGACAAAACTGTTGTTCAGCAGAGTGGACCAAGTGGGTGTCAGAACCACGAAAGCTGCACTGGAACTGAACCTCACCCCAAATCTGGGTCAGTCTGCGTGCATCGGATGCCGCTGGTGTGTCCCGAAGCGGAGTGTGCGGCCGTGGATTGTCTTGTGTGCTCGCTGGCCTTGGGCTCTTGAASGGGGAGGCTGCGCTGGCTGCGATCTTGCCAAAGGACACGTGGTGGGAAGGGTTGTCCTCTTTCCAAGCGGTGGGTTGCGGCCAGGGCTGGCTGCGTCGCTGCCATAGGTGCAGCGGATGGCCTGACGTCAGGCGGAGCGGGATGCAGCAATTCCTGTCAGGCCTGCGGGAATGCTGTGGCTCACCCGGGCCTGGACGGGTGTAGGAAAGGGGCTTTCTAGGTACGGTGCTGGTTTTCTGTGTTGTTTTGAAGAGAGGGGCGRAAAAGAACAACGTAAAACTGCTGGGAAGAAAGCGCATAGTCTGCGCGAGGTCTGATGTGTCTCTTAAGTTCAGTCCTGCTGATATCCTGCTGATAACACTTGCTGATCTTAACAGTAGCAGAGTTTAGTGCCAAGTGTCTGAGTTGTATTGATCAGTGCCCATTTTGAAGATGCTAAAATACCTTTCTGCTCTTTCTGCTTCCCATGAGTGCGGCTAATAGTTTCCTGGGATTTCTGTGATGAGGTCATCCCACAGCCAGGAGGCTGCATGTGTGGATGCAGCTCTGCTGGAGGTTCTTCTGCCTGTGCCTTCAGAACCCTGATAACCACTGGACTTGGCCTCATGCCACACCAGCAATGCATGTGGTTGGTCTCTATGTATTAATTAAAATATCACTGGAACAACTAGAGTGTCAGCATCAACCGAGTGGTCCTCCCATTTCCTCTGTAAGCATGTGAGACAGATTTGTTGACATAAATATAGTTATTAAAGGATGATACTAGGACAATAGTTGCTATCATTTTAAGAAACAATCCTTTGGAAACATGATGCTTTAATTTTCCTACATTGGTTTCTAAGAGCTATGTTGCTTTTGAATTTTGGAAAACTGGTTCTGTGTGGGAGAGGAGGAGTGTTTTTTTGAAATACGCAACTCTACTTTGGAGATGGTTATTAGAGAAGTGCTGAAGAGTGAAGTGGAATTTCAGGTTTGTGTGCCATGAGTGTATCTCTTCAGTGGGTTAAATCTGCATTGCCAAGTAGGCTCCAAAGAAAGCTAGGAAACTTATTTCATCTTGATCTATTCCCGCCCTTCCTCAGCTTCCATGGGCTTTTTCTTCTTGCTGCAAATTTACTAAGTAGCTGTCCGTTCCCCGTGTGGCTTGGCAGCATCTGCAGTTTGGCAGCATCTTCTCGCAGGGCCGATTTTCTTAGTCGAAGGGRAGCATCGGCGCGCACCCATCCAGCCGCTCCTTGCAATCTCATACGCAGGAAACTTGGTTAAGCCCCAGCTTCTGCCTCCAGTCCTGGTGATTTTGATTGTAGCACTGAGCTGAACTCGCAGCGGGAGCTCTCCCCTTATCTGGATGTTCTCAGGAACCTCTTTCTGGGAATAGATTTCCCTCCCAGGTTAGTTTATCTTTTAAAAATTAAACAACAGATGATTCTTGATGTGAGATCAAACACTTAAAGCAGTTTCTCTTTTTAATATCTTAGCCCTGAGGTCTGCATTGGATCTGACTTAATATTCAGACCTAAAGTGCAGAGATGTTCTCTATATATTTTTTTTTCTAGATCCTTATCAAGGAAATAGATGAGAGCCTAGCCTTCAAGGACAAGTCAGGGCAGATATCTTGGAGCTTGAAATCTGTTATGGGGATTGTGGTTCTTGAGCAGATGATACCTCTGTGCTAGGTTTGATGTAATTGCCACAGCTGATGAGTTAAAGATAGTGGGCTTCAGAGAGTAAGCCATGAGCTGTTCGCCTTGAATTTATTTGAAGTTTTGGGGAATCTAAGCCTCCAATTATTAATGTAATCTCAGGATGACCAGAATAAGACTTTTTAGTTGTTTTTATTTATTTTTTTTTATTTTATTCTCCTCCCAGCAAGGGTGCAAGTTATCAGAAGCCCAACTGAGATTGAGAGGAAGATCATAGTTGAGCTCTTCCCCCGGAGAGGAAAGGGGGGACTCGCCTCTTGCCCTGGCATTTCTGTGGGGAATCCTGAGCTCCTAGGGATGCTTCCTTCTCAGGGCTGCAGCGGGAACCCCCAAGAAGCAGCCTGTCCTGTGGAGAGCTTTTTGTGTGCCCTGTTCTTCACAGCCAGTTGTCCTTGTCAGGCAGAGGCGTTTATTAATTACATTATCTCCCCAAATTGACTCTTCCTTTGACCAGTTTAAACGTTTTCCTTATGACAAACAAGTACAGCCTTTAGTAAGGCTCAGAGCCTGAACAAAGGAGTCTTGTCTGGTTAAGGAGAAGTGCTTTTTAGTCATTTTACTAGATTTGAGTATGCTTTGTAACAGAAATGTTGTGTTTGAGAATGAGAGGCTTATTCTAGGCCCTGTGTAAGACCTTCCTTGAATCTAAGCCATAAAGATGTTTTATGTTGCGCTGCAGTTAAGAGAAGATTCACAAGTACTGAGCTAGTCTTTTGGTGGGGATTCAAGCTGCTTTACTCTCCATGCTGCTACAAGCAGAAGCGAATTACTTTGGGCTGTTCTGTGTGCAGATTGTTTGATTACCTTCAGTTCATGCTTACAAGAAAATAATAAACTGCTATCTAAAATCTTTTCAGGAGTGGTAATTTATTCACAGGTTACACTGCGCTGTTCTGTTGATTTGGGAACAAGATTTCCCTTGCTCGTGTTGAAGGATAATTTGCAATCTCTTGAGTAAAGACTGCGTTAGTGTTTGACCCTATAATAATGACATTTCTTTCTGTGTATGGTGTTTTCTTGATTAGCTCAATCCTGAGGGATACTATCAGAAGAATACTAGATATTTAGGCAAAAATATAAAGTATATGTAATCCACAAAGGTATTGGAAAACTGATTGCAGTAGAAGGAAAAAATAGCATGAAACAACCATTCACAACATGTATTTTTGTGCTGAACAAATTATTTTTGTTTAAGCCTCAAGTAGGGGGTTCACTTGAAGTGAAATAATGACTAATAACACAATGATGAATCTACAGATGTTGGCCCTGTCTGTACATAGGCTATTACTGTGTCACATAAGCCATGCTCARTTAAAGCGTAAGCTGGACCTCCACTCCGAGATCACTATTTTTAGTTTATGTATAAGCAACTTCCCCAGAAATCACCCATCTGCGCTAAACTGTTTTGTTCCAAAGGTGAATTGATTTGGGAAAGTTCAAGTAAGAACTTGTTTGACTATGTTTGAGTTGTGAGCATGAAGATAAATATATGCTTTGTACTCTTATTAAAGGTGAGGAGACGAAGGGACCTGCAGAAGGTCAAACAGCCTGCGTTACACCCAGGAGCAAAATCAAAATGTTCAAATACGTTCTAGTTGCCAATCACAATGCTGGTATTGTCTGTATTTAAATATTATGTTGTCAGATGTGTGTTGCTGCTTCTTGATTAACCGTAATGAAGTGTAATTTTCTCTAGAGGCACTTCTACGTTAATGGAGCCTGCTTGTCACCTTTCAGATGAGTGTGAAGTGGCCCGTCCTTATTTTTTGAACAGCATTTCGGAAGCATAAAGTTAATGGT